ACACACACACACACACACACACACACACACACACACACACACACATTTAGATATACATATACACAGGCATATACATATAAAATTTCATCTGAACTTTGGTGGAATGGTCTTTTACTCATTTTAAAACAAAAGAAATGTAAATACTCTATAGCTACCACTGGTAAATAAAAGCAATTCTCAAACATTTAAAAAACAAAATGAAAGCAAAGTGGTAAAGTAGCACTGAAGGGGCAGAGAGAAAAAAGCTTTGCAAAGAAAAAGAAAGCAAGGAGGAAGGGAGGGGAGGGGTCCAAAAGCAGCCAACACCTCACCAGCGCTATCCAGGCAGGGGAGAGGGGAGGGAGCAGGGTTTGAGCTGCTCCAGATAGCACCAGAGCCAGGGAGCGATACCCACCTTAACCCCAACCCTTGGACAAAAAAACAGACGCTACTGTTACTGCCCCAAGCTGCCTCCAATGTTAGGAGGGACAGCAAGGAAGCGGATTGGTGAGAGGTCACTGAGAAGGGAGGCAACCTGTAGACACTCTGAAATAAAAGCTCCAAACAGCAAGAAACAACCACTAAAGCTTTATTCCTACCACAGCTTCCCCTCCTCCACCCTAGCAAAGAGGACAGAAGCATCCAAGAACAACCACTACAACTCCACCCCTAACATGCATAGGCTAGACCAGGGTTGGGAAGCCTGAGGCCTTCTAGATCCTTAAGGGCAGCCTTTGGACTGAGTCCAAATGTTAAACTAACAGGTTCCCCATCCCTTGAAAGATACCAGGGTAACTACAACAAAGTCTCTGCCTTCAAGAAGCTGAGTCACCAGAACACTCAAAGGGTCTCTTCAAAAAAAACACAAGGACACAGCAACACCCCTAGATCCCCAGCCCTCGATCAACTTTGAAGCCCCTACTGTGTGCACAAAAGGCACTCAAGCAGCAGCAGTGTTAGTGGCTGAATAAAGCGTGACTCTCTCTGTGATATGCAGGCAGCTGTAGGAAACTTCACTGATCCAAGTGAGTCTGAGGGAGGGCTAAGAATCCTAAAGAAGAATACAAATCAATGGGTGGGGTAGGGTGGGGGCTCATTTTAAATCCAGATGCCTCTGTATTAAAGGGGAAAAAATCCATAAAAACAGTAAATGGCAGGAGCTTACCTGATATAACAAATCAAAGAAATACTTTGATTTGAAAAAAAGAAATTCTACAATAAAAAAAGAACCAAGAGACAAAACTAACACAGAAACGCCAGCTGAATCAGCACCAGAAACGACAGAACATAAAAAGATCACCTAACTGGGTAATAAATATATTAGTGGAATTAAGAGAAGGCTCTAATTCTGCCAAGAAAAGTAAGGGAAGAATGAAAATAAGTTACAAAAATGTAAAGCAATCCACAAGAATGAAAAATGTTAATGGAAGTAACAGAAAAGCAAGATAAATGCTGGTCATACAAAGGGTGCCAGAGAATGTGGCCATCCAGGGCCTGAGTGTCAGACTCCCCACCATGCCACCCTGCAAACCTATGCCACAAAGTTTCCTTTAACAACTCTCGCTGACTGTCGGCCGAGGCCTAACGTGGTCAGTGCTGCACCTAAACAGACCCAGGGAATAAATCTCATCCAACATACACACTGTACTTGTATAGAAAAAAAGGAGATGAGAAACCTGGAGTGAAAATAACCAAGAGGAGGGTAGAGCCCAGGATGAAAGGATGGCTTACGTAGGCAATGCTGAGGATGAATTTCCCTCTTGTATCCAACGAGTATTCCTTTTTCCCGGTCTCAACACCAAAAATGTTTACTTTGCCCACATGGCTTCCTGTAGCCAAAAACTGGGAATCAGGTGAAAAAGCCAAGGACCAGGCATCCACTGTAAAGGGAAAGGAGAACAATTACTGGGATTGTTTCATGGTCTTCCGACCTGCTGTTCTTTTGGCTTGTTTTTTTGGTTTTTTACACTAAATTATACATTTTTGCATTACAAAATTTAACAAACTGTTCACCATTTGTAATTTTACACAAGTCACCGTTGGATGCATTTTATAAATTCCATAACTCGGCTTTCAATTCTCATATTTTGTTTCCACAAATATATTTCACATGCTTATTTACAGATACGGTTTAACCCTAACCCTAGGCACATTCCAGATAAGAGCATCGATTTCTCAAACTTCTGGCTCTGAGCTTGGAACCTGGAATGTCATTACTGCTGTGGGTTTAAGAGAATACTCAAACCTCGTACCATTATTCAACAGAGAGTCTATGGTCCATGAGACCAGTAGCTGTAGCTACTAAAGGAACTCAAATCAGTTCAAGTATCTGTCACATGCCTACTTCACGCAGACCCTGGGCTGAGCAATGAAAGATACCAGGATAACTACAACAAAGTCTCTGCCTTCAAGAAGCTGAGTCACCAGAACACTCAAAGGGTTTCTTCAAAAAGACAAGGGGACAGGAACAGCCCTAGACCCCAGCAAATTTCTTTCATAATAAAAAAGACTAATAATCATATGTTTCTTGGCAGTGGCCCATCAGCACTGCTTTTGTAACAGTCTAACTGAAGAGAAGGTAATCAAGCAGCGATGAAATTCCACACTCCTCCCTCACTGTGGAATGAAGGTCAGGCTTGGACCGTCCACTCCCCAGGGCAGGGTGAGAAAAGCCCTCGATCAACTTTGAAGCCCCTACTGTATGCACAAAAGGCACTCAAGCAGCAGCAGTGTTAGTGGCTGAACAAAGCATGACTCTCTCCATGATATGCAGGCATCTGTAGGAAACTTCACTGATCCAAGTGAGTCTGAGGGAGGGCTAAGAATCCTAAAGCAGGTAAGGATGGGAGATTAGGACACACAAAGGGAATTACAATGGCACTGGGAATGTGCACTTTGATTATATGAAACACTTCTATAAATAACTAAAGGAAATATTGCAAAGAGTTAAAATCACACAAAACATTTGCTAGATGAGGCCACAGATTTGCCCTATCAGAGTTTCTATGAAACTCTGTCTCTTCAGCAACAGCCTGGCTCTATCTTGTGCCAAAAAAAAAAAAAAAAAAAAAGAAGCTCCTTCTTACCCGGGCCAGCATCGATAGACTTCATTTGTTTGCCATTTTCCAAATCCCAGAGACGAATGTGAGCATCAAGAGAACTGGATGCGGCGATGGCCCCGGTCTGACTGATGTCCACGGACACCACGCCCAGCTGATGGCCCTCCAGACTCCACTGTAACTCCAGCTTCTCATTTTTCCTTCAACAAGAGGAAAGGGGGAAAGCAGTGAAGGTGAAATGGCCATTTGTCACTCCTCCTGAGGTCCATCAAGTGACAGAACACAAACATTCTGGATGTCCACTCTGCATGACTAATCATTTCTATGAGACACAATCAATCATAGGAAGGAGCTGAACCGGACAAGCACAAACATGAAACTAAGCAAAGAGCAGCAGTGTCTGCTGTCCATGGACCAGCACACGGCCACTAACTGACTGCCACATGGTAGTATATAAAAGAAAATGACAACGATTATAATAGCGGACACTTCTGTGTGGCATTCTGACTTACAAGGAGCCTCATCTCATATTATCCCAATAGCAAGTGAGGGAGGGAGGGAGGAAGAGAAGGAAGAAGCAAAGGAGGGAGGGAGGAAAGGAAGGGAGGGGAGGGGAAGAAGGAAAAAGGAAGGGAAGGAGGGAAGAATGAAGGAAGGAAAACCTTTCTTTTTTTCTTTTTTTTTAATGAGGCAGTTGGGGTTAAGTGACTTGCCCAGAGTCACACAGCTAGTATCAAGTGATCAAGTGTCTGAGGCCAGATTTGAGCTCAGGTCCTCCTGACTCCAGAGTCAGTGTTCTATCCCCCGTGCCACCGAGCTGCCCCAGGAAATCCTTTCTTAAACGTTTCACTGATGCACATCTTTGCATCAGCGTCATTTCCCCATGACCACTCCCTCCTTTCTAACAAGGGAGTACTATCAAGCCAAACAGATGATCACACTGGCCACATCTGACAACATGAGCTTTGGTTTGTACCTACAGTCCATATGGTATAGTGGAAAGGGCACTGGCTCTTGAGTCAAAGGATGTGAATTCAAATCCTGTTTCTGACATGTACTACTTATGTGATCTTGGGCAAGTCACTCTGTAGACCTCAAAAGTTAACTTATTTAGAACAGGAGAGGGCTTCACTATATGGTCTCTGGCGTCCCTCCTAACTCGAGAGCTATGACAATCTACAGGCAGGGGACGAACAAGCATTTATTAAGCATCTACTGTGTGCCAAGCACATCACAACTATTATCCCACTGGATCCTCACAATCACCTCGAGATAGGTGCTGTTTTTATTCCCATTTTACAGATGAGGAAACTGAGGTAGACATCAGTAAAGTGAGCTTGCCCAGGGTTACAGAGCTAGTAAGTGTTATAGGTCTCTAGTTCCTTTATGTATATATCAAATTCTCGAGACAATTTAAATACTGGACTTTCCTAAGAGATTTGTTTCAAAGAACAAGTGTCACTCCTTGGCTAGAAGGAATCCAGAAGTACATTTTATAGCTAAGGTAACTGAGGCCTGTAATATGTGTCAAAGCACATATATTTCTATATATTTCAAATATCTGTCCTTCATCAGACAAATGTATTTCAAAGACTTTTTTTTAACAACTACTTCTAAGTCTAGCTGCATTATTTTGTTCATGCAAAAGCTTTGCTATTTTATGTGATCAAAATTGTTCATTCTGTCTCCTTTAGTAACAGCTAGCTAGCATGCATATAGCACTCTAAGGTTTACATAACACTTTCCATGTTATCTCATTTGAGCATCGCTACCCCTTGGTTTGGTTAGGAATCCTCTTCCTAGCCAATTTTACCATTAACCTCTAATTATTATTATTTTTTTTTAAATAAAGGGATCCTGTATATTTAGGTTATTTATCTACTTAAAGCTTTTCAGGGTAAATGACTGTATAAGATAAGTGACATAAGCTTCAATTCTGCCCAGCTGCTTCCCAGTCTTTTTCAACAGTTTATCATGAATAGAACATCCTGTTCTTAGCAGATGCTCCCCTCAGATTTACTGAACACGACACTAAGGCTCAATTGCTTCAGGAGCTTGCTTATCCTAGTCTTACTTGACTCAAGTGACAAATGTTTCCAGTTTTCTTTGAATCTCAAAGATTCTTTAACTGGTCCACCCTCTCACCAGCAAGTAACAACAGGTAGCATTTTTGGAGCTTTTTGAGATTGGCAAAGTTCTTTATAAACAGCATCTCATTTTTGTCCTGAAAACAACCCCGGCAGGCAGGTACTCTTATTATCCCCATTTTTCAGATGAGGGAACTGAGGGAGACAGAGGTTAAGCGACTTGCTCAGGGAAACAGCAATTTTCAGAGGCCAGATGTGAATTCGTGCTTTCCTGACTTCATGTCTGGTGCTCTGCAGATGCACTAGAGATAATTTTGCTTACGCTTACACCTCTAATTTGTTTTCCTTCTTTTATTGCTATAGCAAGCATTTCTAAAACTAAATCAGATAGTAAAAGGGACAATGGTCATCCTTGCTTTGCTCATCATCTTACTAGAAAGGCCTCCCCACTCCTTAAATGATAGCTCTTTGTTTTAAACAGGTAATATCTATTATATTAAGGAAAGGTACAGTTATTCCTATGATTTTTAGTGTTTTTTATATAAAATTATCTTGTCAAAGGCCTTTTCTTCATCTATGGATGACTGTTATTTTTGCTATTAACATAGTCTGTTATGATTGAAGTTTTCCAAATGTCGAACCTTCCCAGCATTTCTGAGATAGATCCAACCTCTGTGATAAGAATTTATTCAATATTTTTACATCAACATTCATTAGATTGAGAGATTCCATAATTCTCTCTCTCCCCACTTTGGCTATCAGGCTTATATTTGTTTCACAGAAGGAATTTGGTAAGGTGAGGTGTTATTCTTGCAAAAAATGTATGTAATAAAGGAGCTAATATTTGATAGAATTCACCTGTGAGTACATCATCACATATTCCCTTCCCTCCCTTCTCTACACCCCCCCCCACATTTTCCTTTGGGAGTCAACCTATGGCTTGTTTGATTTGTTCTGAGATTGGGTTGTTTCAGTGTTCTGTATTGGATATTTTTATAAATGTTACTGCATTTAAGCTTTCAGTTTTGTTGGCATATAATTGGCCTTACATATGGTTTTGAGTAATTTCCTTGATTTCTTTTTCATTATGGATTCCCTTTTTTATTCTTGATTTTGGTCATTTATGCCTCATCTTTTTAAAAAAATCCAAGCAGGTAATGGTTTTACTATTATTAATCATTTCAGAAAAAAATAGTTCTAAGTTTTTACCAACTCAGCCATTTTTTTGTTTTCAATTTTGTTTCTTCTTTGATTTCTACAATATCTTTGTACATTTATTTGAGTTCTTCATTTGATGATTTTTCTACTTCTTTAAGTCGTATGCTCCTTTTTCTCTTTTGCTGATTAAAGCGTTTTGAGATATACATTTTCCCCTAAGGGTTGTTTTGGCTGCATCCCCCAAATATGATTAGATGCCAGAGAGCAGGTGAAAACATCTTAATGATATGTATGTGATAAAGGCCATTAGAATGTCTTTTAAACTTATACATGGGAGAGTATAAGGTCGGAAGATCATTAGCTGTTCCTCCTTTCCTACAACTCAGTATTTTCCTGATTACAACCACTGGTTTGCTTTTTCAGTAGTTGTAATTGTCTTTTTTTTGACTAAGCAATAAATTTTTCTTTGATTAATCTATCCCAGCCCCTTCCACATACATACCGGAGAGCAAATTAAAAAACAACAGCAAAACAAAAACAAAAACATCACAAATCTCTCAATACAGATCCACACAGTTTGGTAAAACAAATTCCCACGTATACATAAATGTGTATCTCTTTTTGCAACTTAAATTCACCACTGCTGAAGCCAAAAGAAAAAGATCCTGTAACCTGATGAGAATTCAAAAACTTCATTTAAGCCTAATGCTCCTAGAAAAATCAACTTACCATTTCCACACTTTGACTAGATCATCCAGGGATCCTGACACAATCATTTCAGAGTTCTCTCTTTGATTTGTCCCCCAGGCAACTGACCAGATGGCATCATCATGAGCTAGGGCAGGGAAAAATGGTTATTCATCACAAGAGGGTGAGTCATGAGGTGATAAAATGCTTCAAGCACAAGAACTCAAAAAGATATATGTTATAGTGGGGAGCCTTCAGGCAGAATGAATAACCACAACAAATGAAATCACAAATCCTTGAGATACTGAAGTATGTTTCAATCACATGTTTGTAAAATTTATACACCTAGTTCCATACCTCCATTAATGAAGAGGTTTGGAGTGTTACCTTTCTATTCAAACAAAAACCCTAAAACAGTCTTAAACTGGAGAACAGAACATTGGAGGGGGAGGGGGCAGGGAGAAGAGGTGGTAGCTGGAAAGTTCCCTAGAAATCATGAAACCCAGCCCAGTGGCACAGAGAATGTCATACACTTACAGATCCTTGATGGATTAAAATATTATCTGCCCAGGGCTATCTTTTTCAGACCAGACCTGTGATTTCACTATTTTAGGGAGGAATTTGTTCTCCCATTGCACATCCACACTCTCTTTGCAACTTAAAAAGATGTAGAGTTGCCAACAGCAGAACGAGCCTAAAAGACTTGTCCAGGGTCACAGAGAAAGGAAGTAACACCAGCAGGATCTGAACTTGGGTCTGCCTCAGAGGCCCACCTGCTATCCCCTACATCATGCTGCCTCTGGTACAATCCCATCACTTGGGTAAATATTTCAATCTGTGGGCTAGAGGCTCTTGCTGTCTGGGGCAGCGATAGAGGTCTTTGACAAAAGGTATTTAACATCAGAAGACCTAAGTTCCAGTCCCATCTCTAACACTAATTTGTTGTGTGACCATGGGTAACCATGTAATCAAAAAGGAATTTATATCTGATGCCTAAAGACTAGCCTGGTTAGGTTCAGAGAGAGAGGCTCCACATGAGGTTGGCTGAAGGGTACTGAATTTTTTCAGTCATAGCAAGTGATCCAATGTATTCCTTAACAACACACAAGGCAAAGTAAAGATGGGCTCAGGAACTGCAGCTCTGCAGAACAAGGAACTTTTAAAGCTGTTGCTTTCTGATGAGAAATGAAGGGCTGGAAGATAGTGCTTTCATACCTTGCTCTTGTTTGAAGAGAATGCTATACTGAAAAAAGAAGAATAATCAAATCACACAATTGGTCAGAGCTCAAAAACAGACCTTCTCTCTCCACCCCCTCCTCCCTCCCACAAAATTTCCACAGGAATCTTCCCTGACTGCACCGTGTCCAGACTCTAAACTCCACTAACAGTATCTTAGACTGTCTTGGGCCACAGGAACAAAGATCAGGAGCCAAAGGAGCCACAGAAGCTTCCCAGACCAACAGACAACATACAGGGAGGTCACCTCATCTTACCCACAGTAAAAAAGGTGCTGCCAGAAGAGAAACTGTTATCTTTTGGTGTGCTTAGATCTCCATCTCCTCACCTCAAGTACACAACTTCAAAAGGTCAGGAGTGTGCTCTTAGACATATTTATATCACCTTTACATGGCCTTGCAAAGAGCAAATGACTTGTTCAGTTGTTTCTGTCCTGTCTGACCCTTTGTGACTTCAGCTGCGGTTTTCGGGGCAAAGAAGCTGGAGTGGTTTGCCACTTCCTTCTCCAGCTTCCTTCTCACAGATGAGGAAACTGAGGCAAACCGGGTTGAGTGACCTGCCCAGCTGGGAAGTTATCTGAGGCCGCATCTGAACTCAGGTCTTCCTGACCCCTGGCCTGGCGCTTCAAGCATCGTTGCTCCCAGACCAGCCCCTGCCTGCCCAGGCACCACTGGGGCCATTCGGCTTAGGGCTCAGGTGACCCCCATTCCCCAAAGTACGGTATGTACGCAGCGCCTCTTGAGAAGGCAAGCCTCCCGAGGGCAGGGAACGTTTCACTTCTATCTCTGCAAGGCCCGGGACACTCGAGAAGCTCCGCAGACTGAGCTGAACCCCGCGATGGCCCAATGCCGCCTCCACGCTTACCTGGACACTCATTTCTTCAGGCCGGGATGAACGGACGTGGGCAGATGTTCTGTGGAGGAAGCAGGGGTTAGCCTCTGACGGACCCCTTGCCCAAAGTCCCCGCTCAGACCTTCGTGCGCGTCAAACCCGAAAGCATCCTCCCGGCACACCTTAGGCCCCAGCGGCTTCGCGGGCTGGGGAGGAGCTCGTGGTCATCGGGCACAAGGCCGCCGAAAGGCCCCGGCCTCGGCATCATCCCCACAGAGCAGGCCCATCCTACCTCTCCTCACACAACCGGGGGACACGGCCAAGTCCCCGAGTTGGGGGGGAGGTCTGAGACGGGCACGCTGCCCCCTGCACCCCCCGCGGCTTTCCCGAGGCGCCCCCCACCCCGGAGACCCGAGGCTCTCTGCTCCCACCTCCCCAGCGAGGGAGGCCCTTGGGCGGGAAAGCCTCCGAGGCCCCTCCGGACAGACAGCCCGCTCCGGGCCAGGCCGGCCTGCCCCCTTCGCCGCGGCCCACTTGGGCTGCCCAGCCCCCCGCCCCCAGGGTCCCCTAGCCCCTGCCTCACCGGCTCCGGAATCCCCTGCTCGGCCTCGGCCTCCGTCGTAGCGGTTCGGCTCTCAACTTCTTCCTTGGCGACAGCGGCGCCGAGTTATGACGTACGAGCGGCGCGCGGCGCGAGGGGAGGACGTCACGTCGCCGCGTGCGCGCCACGGGTCCCTGTGGAGTCCGGTCACCCCCTGCTGGGCTCAGGCAAAAAGGAAAGAAGGATAAGGTGACCCTCGGGCCACGCCTCCTACCCTATGGCCACGCCTCTTAGATCCTTCCCCCCGCCCCCACTCTTCCCCGCAGGGCTCTACAGCAAAAGAGCCAAAGAAAGGAGGGAGAGGCCTCGGGCCACGCCCATTCACCATGGCCCCGCCTTTTCCGGCGGGCGCAGGAGGCGAGAAGATAGGAAGGGGAGGGAAGGCTGGAAGGCCTTCAGGCCACGCCCCCAAACCCGAGTCGCGCCCAATGCGTCCGACTCCGCCCCCATCCTTACGGCCCCTCCCCTCCAGACTAGGGATTCCTGAAAAAAAAAATAAACAAAAACACCTGACGCGGGACAGAGGCAGGGCGGGGAAGCGCGGAACTCACTTCCGGTGAACACAACCACCACAACTACCACAACTACCGCAACCACCGCAACCACCGCAACCACCGCAACCACCGCAACCACCGCAACCACCGCGAAAGGGGCCTCCAGCCCCGCCCAGCGGGTCTGCACGGGTGCGGGAAGCTTCCACCTTGGGAGTTCCGCCCCACGCGCGTGGAATAGTCACGAGTGTCTGCGCGGGGGCAGTGCCCTCGCCTCTGTGCGTCATTTGGCTCGGGCTGCCTCGTCTCGCGCGCGGAAGCAAAGGGTGATGTCAATGTCGCCCTTGCGACGCCGCTTGGCCACGCCCCCTGCTCTCTGACCACGTGGCCTCGTCACCCCACGCCTGGACCCTTGCAATCGCCGCCCGGTGGGTCCGCCTGCCTCAACCTCCCCACCCCAGTCTGTCCTCCAAAGCTGGGGTTTGACTCTCTCACTGCCCCACTCAAAGTCCGGGGGTCCCCATCGCCTCCAGGAGCAAGTGCCAAATTCCGTTCGGCATTCAAAGCCCTTCGTGACGCACCCTCCAGGTGATCCAGCGGCGCTGGCTTCTTTGCTGTGACGCCAGGCATTTGCTCTGGCTGTCTCCCACCCCCAGCGCTCTCCCCTCTCCTCTCCGCCTTCCGGCACCCTTCAGCTCCCAGCTAAAACCCCACGTTCTATAGCAAGTGTGTCTCATGGGACCCGACGGCACAGACTGGGAGGGAGGTCTCTTGTGGTCCTGATTTTTGTTGTGTCCAAGAAGAGAAAATTACGCTCCCTCCCCCCCCCCCGATGATTTTCTTCTGGATGGAGTCAAGTGACTAATAAAAACCCCCTTTATTCTAACACCTTCCCTCTCTCGATTATCTCCATAGCATCCCTCATGCATCTTGTTTGTACAGAATTGTTTTAATGCTGACATGTGACACGCATGAAGCATCTAGGTGGTTCAGTGGCTAGAGGACTGCCCTTAGAGTCAGGAAGACCTGAGTTCAAATGCAGCCTCAGAAGCTTACTAGCAGTGTGACCGTGGGAAAATCACTTAACCTCTGCCTCAGTTTCCTCCTAAAACAGAGATAATAATGGTACCCACCTCCCTAGGTTGTTATGAGGATCAAATGAGATAACATTATTAAGTGCTTAGCATTGTGCCTGACACCTAGTAGGCGATATATAAATGCTAAAAAAAAAAATTATTACTATTATTATATTGTTACTGTGGTTGTTTTCTCCCGCATTATACTGGGAGTTCCTTGAGAGCAGGGTTTTTTCCCTTTTTTTGCATCCTCAGCACTTAGCACAGTGCCTTGCACACAGTAGGGGCTTAATAAATGCTTTTTTTACTTGACTTAATGTAAAGAGCCCAAGAATGGTAGCCCCGGAACTTGGTTCTAATGCTGACTGAGGCAAGTCACTTCCATAAATGAGAAGCTAGGTGGCACTGTGGACATAGCTCTGGACAGGGTCAGGAAGCGCTTAGAATCTGGCCTCAGCCATGTAACCACTCAGTGTCTCTGGGCAAGTCGCTGGGCCTCTGTCAGCCTGTTTCCTCATTTGTAAAATGGGGATGATAATATTAGCATCCACCTTATGAAGTTTAGAGAATCAAACATGATTAATATATGTGAAGGACTTTGTAAAGCTTAAAGCACTATATCACTGTTAGTTTTTATTTACCTCCCTGGACCTTGTTTTCCTCTTCTGTATAATAAAGAAGCCTGAAAGGATCACCTGTAAGATCTGTTCCCCTGAAATGCCAAGGCTCCAAGTCAACATCAGCATTCTACAGTGGAAAGAGCCCTGTATTTGGAGACAGACACCCTGGGTCCAAATCCTGACTGCCCCTTAACTATAATAGCTGATCTTGGGACATCACCTTGTATCCCTGGGCCTCGGTTTCCTTATCTGTAAAACAAAGTGGGCGGACACCAAAGTTCCCTTCCGATTCCGAATCTATGATATATGATCCTACCCTGAAACCCAGAATCACAGAATCTCCCACTTGGGAGGAATCTCACCAAAGCCAGACAGCTTTCAGCCGTTATAGTATCAGGAGAAACTGTTTTAGGAAGATCACTCCCGGATATGGATAAAATATCTCTGAAATGGTCGTGCTGGCCAATGAAATACTGTAACGATAAGATTAGAAAGGTCTTTTGGAACCCAGATTGTGGAGAACATTTGAATGCCAGACTAAGGAGGTTTGTTTTTTGTTTTTGTTTTTAGCAAGAGTAACCTTGTCCCTTGGGGAAAATATTCAGTCAAGATTTATGAAGAATGAATTTGGAAAGGAGACAACTTAGGACACTTAAGATAGGGGAAGAAGGCCTGAATTAAGGTGGTAGCAGTAGAGTTGGAGAGATGGATGGAGAAATACTGAGAAAATAGAATTAGCGTCTCTTGGAAACTGACTGACCATGGAAAGTAAGGGAGGAGGAGGAGGAGGAGGCATAGGACAAATAATAGAATTTTACTAATCGACTTTTCTTAAGCACCTCCTCTGTACACGGTGCTGTTAGTCTCTGACATAGCTGTTATGCAGATTGATAAATCCTTAGAATGGGAAGAAACCCTAGAGCAGAGGTGGGGAACCTGCCCTAGAGATAATTTTGTCCATCCTTCTCTTTTGACAGAAGAGGAAACTGAGGACCACTGAGTTTAAGTGATGTGCCTAAGGTCAATAATCTAGTCAATACAACTGAAGTGCAAACCCAGGTCCTCTGACTCAGCCCAGCGCTCTCTCCACTGACGCCATAATTTCAAGGAATCTATGTACAGTAGTAATAAGTCATGTTATGGAAAGGTTCTGTTATCTCTCCTGGGGCAGCGGCTCCTATGAAATACAGAAAAGGCTTGTCATGGTGTAAAACAAAACCTCTCCCCTCCTGAACCTTCGGGGAATGAATGACTCATTTGGCCACGCCAAGTTTTCCAGACAGCAAAGGGCACCCAAAAGCTTGTCCAACAATCCTCTCCCCTCCTTGCTCCTCCAAGTTCTCATTCCCCATTTTTTTTCCTTGCCTCCTCCAAGATATTTCCTAGATCCAAGCTCAACCGCCCTCACTTGCTTCCATGGGAAAAAGTGTTCCCAAACTGATTACAGCAAGCCAAGGTCCTGGAGTCTTAGCCTGAGCATCTGCTTCCTGAAACAGTAGGGCCAGGAGAAACTGACATCAGCCCCCAGAGTGAGGCAGCTCCTCCAATCAATGGGCCATGCTTACCATCTCAAAAACCACTGAAATGCAACAGAGGATGCATTGCAATGCTCATCGTCTTCCTCCTACATCATCCTTCTGTCTGCCTCTCCCTCCTCTGCACCTCACACCCCTGTCCTCCTCAAACATCACCACCCCAGGCTTGAGCATTTCCTGAAAAACAAAAAAAAACCTTGCAAAGAGAAGGTAAACCTGCCTTCAGACTTTGGGGATTTTTGTTTTGTTTTATATAATTTTATATTCTTTTGAATAAACCAAAAAAAGAGCATTTCCACAAAAGACAAAAAGAAATTGTATAAAACCACGAATCTCCATTTCATACTACTGATTTCTTGGGGCAGTCAGCACTCGTCCTGACCTTTGTCTTGCCACTGGACTACAGTGATCCTGGAGGGGAGTGCAAGGTGAGACTGATGGTTCTGTCTCACTTAAATCCAATTCACACTCAAGTCTAAGGCATCACCCTCGTGACGTCATTGGTCCTCTGAGGACGAAGGATGAACACAACTTGATTTCTTAAAAAGTCTTTCGTATGAGATGTCTTTTTGGCAGGAGGATGGGAGGAGGGGTCATGGAGAAATTTAGGTAATGTAAAATAAATACATCGATGGAAATTTTAAGTATATAATAAATTCCACACATTATTTTCGGAACGGTCCTGCTTGTCTGTGCTTTCTTCTCAGCTTCCTCTCCTGTTTTCTTCTATGCATCCGTGACTGTTCTGGCAGCTCTACCTCGTGGTGGGAGGTGGGCAGAGTAGAAAGAATCCTGAGAGAGGAAGTGTTGTTGAGGATAAGCCCTGAAGTCAGGTACACCTGGGTTCAAATTCTGACTCTAGCACCTAATACCTGTGTTACTGTGGACAAGTCATCTTACTTATAGACAAGATGCTGATCTACAGAAGTGGAAAGAGGTCTGGGGAGAAGAGACAGAGAGACACCCTGAACTGGGAGTCAGGATACCTGGGTTCTAGGCTTGGTCCTGCCCTTATGTGACCTGGAGGCCACTTTTCTCCCCACTCTCCATGTTTCAATTTCATTATCTGTTCCATGGCAATAGTTTTGTGAAGGTCAGATCACCCCACCCTTCACCAGCTTGTCTTAGATACCTCATATTGCAAAATTAGAGATGTTTTCCTTTAGCTTTTTGAAGATTCTGTCCAGGAATGGGCCAGTATGTAACGATGATGACTCCCAACTCCAGGCCAAGCTGGACAGATGAGTGATTCCACTATTTTTCCTAAAGTAGGAATGGGTAGCACTGAGTCATCCCCACTCAGTCCTCCCCTTTGTGATACTTTACAATTTATAAAATGCTCT